ATACCCAGAAAGCAAATAAACGACACAGCCTGATCAGAACCTAGAGGAATCAATAGACATTGTGACATTTGTCTTTTCACTAGTTAGGGGAAACCCAGGAGGAATGGTAAGGGCTGATCTCCCTCGAGGAGGCGAACCTACCCGAGCTGAGCGAAATACTCCTCTCCCTTTATGAATATTTTGTACCAATTTCCATGAATCTCCCTACGGGTGTTGTTGGACGACAGTCACGATCACACAGATAGATAGAAAAAATTAGGTAAACAAAATAACAAGTCCTAGGTAAACAAAATCGACCACGTTCACAGCGGCGATTAAAGATATATGTATAACAAGACAATAATGTGCTCTATTGCGAATTTTTCGCTCTCAAAAAAAAAACACGTCCAGAGAGAATCATAGAAGGATCTTGTTTTTTTTTTCATTCAGAGCAGTATATTTATTAGATTTCTGGCTTTTCAATCTATTCCCTGATGGAAATTCCTCTGCACCAACCATAAATCCAGTACCGTGTGAAATTAAGAAGGTCTTCTTAAATGCATATGAAATTGCCATTCAAATGTCTGGATGGTACCCATTCAATTTAAAGGACTCTTCAATTAATGGATAAGTTTCCATGTGTTTAAGTCCGGTAGCTTCCACAACCCAGACCCTACTTAAACATGCATGAATACTTACACAAAATTATACAATTTTAGATCCACATGAATGAATTAGTAAGTTGACTTCAAAAAGTCCCAGTCGATCTTGTTTTTTGCGATTAAATATTGAATTTGAGACCCGTTCTTGTACACTCTTAACTATTCCACGCGAATCATCTAAACGCCCTGAAATCCCGGAAATATCGAGATCAACAGTTTTTTGTCAGCGAAAAATGTGAGTTTACTGAGAAAATGTTGTTTAAAGGTGCCTCTCTTCAGCTACTTTAAGAGGGTGCTACATCAGCGATGAACTAATGAAAAATCGGTTTTTTTCGAAGTCAATGTGGTTTAAAAACTTGAAAAATCAATATCTCATTTTGTTTCATGAGCGATAAATATTTACTCAGGCTCTTTCCCGTGAAAAGCCTAAAATAGTTCCAGAATAATTGATAAGGCCCTTCATTCCAGAACTCTTGAGAAAAGGGACTGATCCCAGAAAAAATTGAAAAAATCCCATCTATCCACGGGTTTAGATTCCGTCCAAGACCAAACTTTCGCCCACAACTCAGCAAACTCGTGATTCCTATTGCAATAATCCTTCCAAACTGACCTGGATATTCTTCTTCCACCCATCGTTTCGTTATGTAATTAATATGATTTTTTATCCATTCAATTATAATGAAATCTTAATTTTCTTTGAAGGCCTAGGACCCCGGGACTTCGATGCTCAGTTACGTGGAGCTTTAGGGTGGATTAGGGGCTTATCTATTACGTACAGCAGGTGATATTCCGTTTCCATGGCCGCTAAAGCTTCTTACTGCACAGTGACCGTAATCGATTTAGATAATCAGACTTATCCACAATAAAACTTTTTGGATGTTATTATAAAATTAATTTGTAAATTTACAAAAAAACGGGATATCAACAGTGTTTGACATTTTCGCTCTACTTCCAAAAGGTAATCGTTGTGAAATTTCAGTAAATAAGTAATTAAATAGTAGTATATATATAAGTAATAAACGGCTAGTCCTGAAGTTGACGAAGCTAATCGCACTTATCCCAAGCATGCACTCATTTCCATTCGAGATTGCAGATGTACTTGTATAGCTGTCTAGTCCATCCGGCAAAAATGAAGCAATCAGCAGATTATCAGCTCATATCAGCTATCACCACAACTTGTTACCCAATTTTACAACAAATTATGCTATTTTATACTGATATGGGTGTCTATAACGGCTAGTACTTGATATTGAAGAATTAGCTCTGTCCTCCCTAGGGCTACCTAAGACGCGAGTGGCATGGATGGCACACGACCAAACAGAGAATAGGGAAATTTTCTTATCCTTAAAATACCTCTGTGGAGGGGACCACCTCATAAGTTACGAGCGGAATTCCTAACGGTATGCCACGCGGCGAGACAACTATCCAAAACTTGACGCCAGGCAAGACAACTAGCCAAGGACTGCCGCATGTTGTGAGTTTATTGGGACTAGCATCGTACAACTTATAAAACTACAACAAAATAAATTAACTTGGCACAGTTTATTACCATTTGATTTAATTTGTTTTTCAATATTTTTTTAAATTTAATAATTCACTTTCAACGAAATCGATTCCCTTATAATAGTCAATTAAATTGCTTTTTTTATCCAAATCATATCATTGCAACGCCATTATCTATGGATTTTTATTGACACCTACACAACCATCCAGGGCAGTTTGACTTGAAAGGATAAAATCTTGTGTGGATCGATTTGTTTCTAAGATGCGCCGTGCATCCTGCTTTGGTCCGAATTCTTAAGGGCGTTACAAGGTGTATTTTGTTTGAATGTTTTCTACAAGTTTGTAGGCTATACACGGCAGCGTTGTCAGGTGGGTAGACTTGGTAGAGCTCCCTAATCTTATCGATTTCAATAGACGTTTGAAACAAGTACAGAAGTAAGTACAAGTATAATTATACGATCCGAATCGCACTGTATCTCCAAAGTAGTGAGGTTCCAGAACTGTCTAGATAGTTTCCCCTTATTATTTCAACAAATACTAAGATTCAATTAGTTAAAGGCACCGTTTACGATAAATTTAGGGTACCCTTTTTTGACGGGAATTCATAGAACTACTCTAGAAAAAAGCGATAACAACGGAAAAAGTGCAAAAAACGATGAACAAAAAGAAATAGAAAGGGTCAAAAAGANCTGGAAGAACAGCGGTTAAGGGGATGTTCGGGCTAATGCACCAAGGCGACGCAATGTCTGCAATAGCAGACAACACACACAAGCAGACACATCGCTCCAATGCGAATGTGGTGAAGGACAATTACTACTCGTAGTCAGCCTAGCGAGGGGCGGAGGCCTCCCGTCCCCCACTGTTCCTGCCCTTATTGTGCCCTATCCAGACCGTTTTCCAACTTCATTCCTGCACAAATGGTATCAGAGGGGGCGTCGAATTCAAACCAAGTGCAGATCTCTGAAACCATTTTTTCGTGAACAGTGCCTTTAACAACTGCAAACTACTAACTTTAATTGGAATTTCATATGACAGGTATGTTAGCTAACGAGGTTCGATCGCAAAGCCTGTTCTCTGACTTAAGATTTCCATACCAAATGTGAGTCATTCTAACGAAAATCAGGCTAGACCCGATTGCTCCAATTTTTGGAATGCGCCACGACTCTGTTTTCCATTAAGAATCCCACAGATTGCTTGAATGCTTGCTCAGTCGATAACACTTTCTAATAAAGAAGGTTATAAAAGCTAATAATAATATATTGTAGTAATATATTATAGTTTAAATGAACTAAAAGTTTTATCCTTAGGAGAAACTAAACTTTCTTTCCATCAGCTCTGAAAAAAGAGCTGCCGTCTCCGATACTACCGAGCGAAAGGACATAACGGTTTTGGCTCGATGGCTTCCATAATCACTGTATTACCTTTCCACCAGTTCCTGCCCAGTAAATAACCGTGAAAAAGACTCCTCACTAGTTCCATTCAATGGCATTGCTTCCACTCCATACCCTACCCCCGCTGATACTCACTGAACCTCATTGAGGCCGACGATGCCCGTTCCCTTCTCGAATCCATCTCTTTGATGCATGAATCGTCTGGGAGGGTATTCTAACTGGACTGGAACTCACAATAAATAAGGGTCTGAATAAGGGCGTGGGACACATCTAGAAAAGGAGAGGGCGGCATCAACGGATTCGGGTTGGCCCTCATTCCCAGACGACGAATTGACATTTTCTTGAAATGCCAGTTCCTAAAGAAACTCTCCCTATGTTTCAGTATGATGGGATGAGAAATGTGATGGCACATGTAGTTCGCACCGCTTAATGCATCATTAGTTGCTAATTTCAGCACGAGAAATGCGCTCGCCTAGCGCTAAACAATTAGGCGCTCAACCATCAAGGACTCATGTCCCTCCCGTACTTCAGCAAACTGCTAGGGGAATGTTGGGTCAAGTGCTCAGGAGGAAACGTCATTCAGTAAGTCATGAGTCCAACAGGGACTATGCAATATCGTGGCCTAAGTAGAATAGGAAACGATAATGAGTAAGTAACTAGTTCGGCAGTACTACTGTACTTCCTAATAGTTCACCTTATGAGAAGGTATTCACTTTTAGGATGCCATTGGGTGGTGATTGGAAAAGTGGTACTGTGGAACGACCAGCATCGACTTTAGGAATGCGCCATAACTTCGGCAACCGCGCAGATTTGTAGGGGGTTTGGAAACATGCTCTAGTTGGCATTGCCTTGCAATGGCCTGGAAATATAAGGCGCTCCTCCAGCCAAGAATACAGAATCCAGTACAATGATTTTATCCTCCCTGACGATCAACCGATCCCTGTAAACCAAATAAGGGTAAGCCTGACTGAGCAAAGATCCGGTACTCGATCCCCGGATACTAGTGGCGCTAGTGCGCCTCTCGGCACTACTCTATCTTTGCCAGCACCTCGGAATAGCCAACATATGACAAATAGGGATTCGGATAGACACAGAACCATCCTCCTATTTATAGGCAGTAATCCTAATCGCTAAAACATTTAATCAGTAAACATACTGAAATAGCTATGACTGGTAATCTGAAAAACACTCCAAAAAACATCGATCATCAATATCTTAGCCGACGCTGAGGCATTTCATAACCATCTGGAGATGATCCTCTCATGAGAATAGAAAGTTACGCAAATGGGCAAAATTCCTGGCAAAGCCTTTATTGATCGGTTCGTGGCATCAGGAAAAGCCCAGTCGGAAAATCAATTTCAGCATTTACGAACCAAAAATTCAATATTCAAATATTGGTCGTTTTCTTAAAACACCTGTTTTTTTGTGATGGATTCCATTATGATCTCGAAATTTCCCGAAAAGGATGGATCAAGGACCATGTGCTGGTTTTACGAATCACATTCGAGATGAACCTCTGGGCGGAGCGTGCGTTGGTGTGGGCGGTGCTCAGCAAGACGTCTTCAGAGTGCAGAAATTCCCCTTGATTTCTCAACGGAGTTTACTTTCTCTCGATGGATCTCTATCGGGTGTAATAGTTCCCATTGACGGCCATGCGTATGCGGGCAGTCAGGTCTTAGTGGATTATCGTTACCACGCGTCGGCGTCGTCGTCGGAAATGTCTTGTGAAAGCGACGACGGAATACAACGAGGCTATTGATGCTAACGAGCCACGATAGCAGCCCCTTCGATGAATGGCAACGAATCACGTTAATTAATCATTCTGATACCTAAAACTGTGAAGAAGATATAAATGAGTTTGAGAGGGGATTAAAGTGAAGGAAAACTAACAGTTTTTGAAATCTTTGGGAAGTAACCACGAAAAAACCTCCATCAAGTGGGGGAAAAACTAGCACGGGGCTTTGCATCTTCTCCGGAAACATTCGTCAAAGGAGTCTTGTAAAAAGCATCTAAGTGTCCTTAAAGGCATCCGGCCTAGATGGAGGAAAAACCTGGAGGCAGAGGCGCAACAGAGGACTTCTTTAAGCCCACAAGATCAATTCCCATGAAGATTTCCTTTGAAGTCGGCTATCCCCAAACCAATGGACCATACTTGAACGGGTTTGAACGGAACTAAAATCGGCTTTTCACCGTGTAAACCACTCTATCGAAGTAATAAAGACTCAAATCTTCGTTGTGATCGGGAGGATGCCCAGAACGTGGCGTATTCATCTGAGAGAGCCCTCGGGGCCTGATTTTTTGTCGCCTACTGGTACAAAAATCTATCAACACCTTCTACAACTACAATATCTCGAAGAAAATGTAGCCAAAAGAACAAAATGGCTTGGTTGAGCTCAATTATTTGAAAAATTATGTTGGAGATAAGCAAAGAGACCGAAGCTGTCGAGAGGCCTTGCTCCAGTAACTTTTACTGTACCGGTAGGTTAATTACTCAGGATTATTACTCCGGCCATCCAGGCAGAAGGCATTATTCACAACCAATGAACGACTTTCCATCTTCACGGAATGATTTTGCATTTTTTTTTTGAAAATTATTCTTAATGCTGTATTTATTGAGTCAACTTTTTTAATTTATCTAATTTTATATGATTTAATTGATTAAATATCGATTTTTGAATAAATGACCCACTAAGTATTAGATTCCCAAACTGAAAATGTCTTCGATCACCACGATTTTGCTTTCGTCAGTTCTGTTCAGGTTTTCATTCAAAAGTTCTTATCGTCTTTGATGAATTAGTGCAAATATATTGCCAAATAAGCAAACAAACGAGTAAATTAATGAATGACCAGTTGAATTCTGACTAATTGGGTAATTTGGACTTGAATTGATCCTTGGTAGGTACAGTTCTTCGGAAAATCCCCGTCCAATCTTTCTTAGGACATTTCATTCGATTCCCTCTCCACTATGGAATCATTACCCTCAGGAAGGAACGATGAAAAGGCAAATTCTGGAAGAATGCCAAGAAAAATCAACACGAAATAGTTATGAGAACCATTAAAATTAACGAGATATCCCGCAAAACCTCCTCCAACCTCCCTTGGCCAGTTATGTACTTTTATTGATCTCTCCTGAATCGATCCCAATCGATTTTTCTAATTATACACAGACGGAGGAAATATTCCGTGGTAATTTCAATGAATGCTGTGAAAATGTGAGGGAGGCAATTCAGCTTCAGCTGTTGCCCTTTCATTTCAATTCCTCTAATCTCCCCATCCAATCGGCTCGACAAATCGATGAAAAAACTTGGTATCATGGCGTATCATTCTCTGAATGAGACTTAATCAATTCTAGATTTCACACTAGGTATGTTAGGGGGAATTGAGGCAATGCTAGGCGAGGAAAATTGGCTTTTTCTCCCGACTGAAGCCAATCTAAAACTGAAAGCGAAGAGAATCAAGGAGGTATTGACTTGGGGAAAATGGCGACTGATAAATTACCCGTTTCCCACAAATTGAAGACCTTGTGTGAAACGGGGAATTTTCGCCGGAACGCCGGGAAAAAAACGTGCTTGAACTCTCGGAAATTGCCTTTCTCGTATTTCGTTTTATGTTTTCATTTCTTTCATTCCCGGCAAACGAAACCCATTAAACAACCAATATTGCCTACATATCCTTCAGGACATGCCAAACGCCATTTTCTGGGCGCTTCACAAAGCACTTCACAACGGGAAACGACCATCCGGGGGTAATATTTGCGGTGAAACAACGGAGACCAATTCTGCTGAAGAGTGCCTGTTGGAAAGAAATGAAACCTTCACAAGGAAAAAGAGATAAGAAATGGGGAAGTACAGATGAATGGGCAGAAAGCCCTGTGGGAACTCTTGGAACCTTCTCCCAGGGAGCGGGTTTGATTCAGTTCCCGGCGGAGACATGAACTGTGACGATTCTTTACCGGGAACTGAATCTGCCCCACTTCCCTGACTACAGTGAAGGATTACATTCTCAGGTTTAACCAGTAAATATGGACAGTCCAAAACAATACCCTCCAATACCCTCCACTCGAACACTTTGGAAGTTCTCCTCACGCCTAGCCACTCCGGGGTAAGTTTTTGGAATGACCAATAAGCTCCGGGAAAAACTATACCAACCGAGGGATCCGGAAATTTGGTCTGATGCTAAGAAACCTGGGTAAAAGAAATCAAACTGCGAACAAAAGCTAGCAGTTTAAAGATTCATCAGCAGAGAGGAAAACCCTTCAGAGTCCAATTATCTTCTGAAAGCTGTCTTTTCGCATGAGGCAACCAGGGGGACCGATGAGGCAGATGATAAATGATATTCTTTCGTTGAAGAGCTCG